CGACGTAGCGACCTGTCACGTCCGCAGCCCGCCGCGAACCAACGATAACGTTACCGTACCCCCTCCTCGGCACCTATCACGCCCATCTCAACCCGACCAATCAGCGACGAGGGAATCCTGCAACTTACCTCTCAGCGGCCATGTGCAATATCGTATTCCCATTAGCATCTGCTGCATCTCGTTGAGCACCAAGTGACAGTAACGCTACCGTAGCTGTCCAGTTTCCATCAGCTACTGCACACATTAATGGTGTGTAGCCATTTTCCGCAACACTGTTCAACTAAATCAAACCTTTTTTAGATGTAATGTTTTCTACTTGTAAAAAAGGACCTGGTCGAAATGATTCTGTGCGGTAATAGCAAAATGCGCTGGACCACCTTCGCTTTTGTTCCAGTTTGACACAGCTGTGAACATTTGATTGCCTTCAGTAGCTGAGAGAGTGCCATGCAGAAGACGTGAAGCCGATGTGTCCACTGGTGGATCAGTGTATTCACGGAAAACTTGAGAAAGGCAGCCAAAAGTGCTGTCTGCAAAAAGAATTGGGTTGATATGTGATTTCGACGATGTTCAATCCGGATTAGGCCAAAATTGGAAAAAAGGGGCTACTTTCGCAAAGACTCGCGCCGTAACGCAACGGCCGCATATCGTGGCAGGACCATGTCTGCGTCTCTGCTACCTCCGATCTATTGCCGGCAGAATGGTGCGATAAAGTGGGCGCGCCATCTGCGGACTATTCCGGACTGGAGCTATACGTCCTGCTCACTCCAAAATTTACCTGTATAAATAGGCAAAAGAGCATCTGATGCTCTATCTTCCTGACTCCAAAAGAATGTCTGCTTTCCTGGCGCTTCCAAGCAGAACAACTGATCATCACCGTTTGAGCTGATCACTGATCGGACTGTTACAAAATGCACCTCCTGACAAAATGTTCAAAGATTTGAAGGGTAGCTGGATGAAAGAAACCCACTAGCTGTCCGTCGTCTTCCTGCTCAAGCACAGCATGATCCCCGACTTCGAAATGAATTTTATGCAAAGGTCGAAGCGCTTGCGCATGCCAAACAACATCGACAGCCATCTGAACGCTTGATTCTTTGAAGTCACCTCCCTACTCCTTTCCTTCGAAATCTGCGAAAATCTCCCACCAGCTGACTCTCGCTGTAGACTCCATATTCGTCACTTCTAGACCACAGGTAGAATCGAACAACGACATTTTGCCAATCGTCGGAAATGTTTGTTATGCTTCCAATCCTGCCTAATGTCTGGAACTGGAGATTTTTTCCCCGAACCTTCTAGAATCAGCACATACCATGACGTTATAGATTGAGTCCCACGACAAATGTGAGTACTCATGAAGTTTCTCAGCATGTCTGGCTTCCCTTTCTATTACGTAAACTCTTTGACCAACTTGCAGCCAGCTCATTTTGCGGATGGATGTAAAATGGGAAGTGTTTGGCTGCAATCATTTGCTAGTGCATGTCAAAACATGGATCAAAAATAAGTTGAATTCAACCTGCTATCGTCAAGGCCACAAACTGACCATGGTCAGTACCTACTCTGCACAGTAGTAGCAGCAATCCCTCAAACTGAGCCATGACTGGCACCTAAGCCGATCAGCCAATTGCCGTCATATTGAGTGGAGTTACAGTCTTCCGCAGCCAGTCGCTGTTTTTGAATCTCTCTTCCAGGAAAGCACTTTTTTGATTTTTCAAGCAAAGTCCCGAACTCAGCGGATTCAAAAGGCCATGTAGTTGTGGAAAGCTCTCAGTGGCAATTCTCACGAGGCACTGTCTTTTAGAAGCAGCGTCCGGGCAAAGTTTCGAATGGAAATTTTTTCGCTTATGTGGGCTTAACCTTCGTGCTGATTCCGAAAATGCAGCCTGGAGAGCACGAAAACGT